TCCTCTGTCCTTCATGGGTCAAAATGGGTGGGATTGAGCACTGAGGTGCGTTTACGCTGGGGAGATGGCTCTCAGGACCGACGTATCTGATAGAAAAGAAACCTTGGTCGCATATGAGCGGCGGTATGCTATGCCCTGATTTTCTTTCTTTTAAGAAATAAACTAACTTCTCGAAGACTGCAAAAGCTCTGTATGGCTTTTATTTTCTCACTTTCAATTTCATCAAATGAGGAGAAAAAAAAAAATCACTTCAGCACTGCAGTCTTTGGTGGAATGAATCCTTCTGCCTGACTCGCAGAGCTTTGTAATAGAAATGCTGACAGACCCTAATTTATAATGGTGTTAACAAAGCCATGGTAATGGGCCTTGGAAAAGAGAAAATGCTTGAAGCTTTAGATGGTTGAGTACAGGAAAGGCAAACAGAGTGGTTCCAGAGGACTGTAGTCAGAAAACTAAAGATGTGGTCCCTGGTATTGGTGCGAAACACGTGTGTTGTGTGAATGGTGCACTCCTGTGAGGCAGGAGCACTGCAGAGGAATGGGACATGCAGCCCGGGGAGGCAAATTGCTGGTGCTGATACATGTCAGGGACCAGAAATCAAGAGATGATGGGTGATACACAGAAACTTGCTGGAAAATTTGCAAGCCCATGTTGCATTTTTATGCACTTGTTAAAAATATGAAAATATTCCCCCCCCCCCCCCAAAAAAAAAAAAAAAATCCTCTTCTTTTGACTCGATCTCTGTCAGTGATTAGTGCATTTGCAGTCAGGGCAGGCTTTGTCCGCAGTGATGCTGCGTCAGCTGCCAGGGGAGCTCGGTCTCCTGTGGTCGGGCTTTGCTTTTTGGGTAGAAATGCATGTGTGCGTATTAGTGCTCAGCATTACCGATAAATATTGCTCTGGAGAGAAATACTGAAATGTTTTGGCTCAGGGCAGTGTTTCTCGAGAGCCCTTCATCTTCTCCTTCAGTTCAGCTGTAAATGAGGTATTGACATAATGAATAAAACACAAAACATCCTGGGTAGCGGCAGAGCTTATAAAATTGTCCGTAACGCCTCTGCGCACCTCTTTATCTAGCCAGGTCTTGCCTAGGTTAGCCTCCAAATAGCAAAGCAGGAAAGAATCACAGAATGGTTTAGGTTGGAAGGGACCTCTGGAGATCATCTAGTCCAACCCCCCTGCTCAAGCAGGGACCTCTAGAGCATATTGCCCAGGATCGCATCCAGACGGGGTTTTGAATATCTCCAGGGAAGGAGACTCTCCTACCTCTCTGGGCAACCTGTAAAATATATTTACAAATTGGGGGAGGCAGGGGGAAGAGTGTGGGAGTGCAGGAGGAAAATACAGTTATTAAGCATTCAGTCTGTAATCTCTCCGTGGCACCGAGAGGGCCACCAGATGTGTGTAGTGAGGAACAAGCGGACAGCTGCATGTTTTAGGAACACTCAGTGCATGACAGTGAAAGATGTTGCTTTGGGAAACATGGCAATGTTATAGGCAAGTTAAAATGCTTAAAAGAATGATAAACATTTCAAAATAAATGCTTTGTACTTTGTTTCGTTTCTTACCACAGTTGAGCTCTTTGTCCTGATTTTAGCAAGCAGAGTTCAAATTCTTTTTGTATGACAAACTCTGGGGTTTTTTAGCTTAGCTTCAGCCATTAAATTTCCAGGAAACTGAGAAACGAGGCTGCTGCTAAATCCATTTTAAGCCCATTTTGAGAAAGGTTTCTCATCAACTCTAAACTTTTACTCTATTTCTTACTTAGCAGCAAGCTCAGTTTTAAGGACTGTGAGCATCTGGTTTACGGCATCAGACGCGTCAAAGCCTTCTGCTCTGCTGCTGGCAGTGACCGGTACTGAGCGCTTAGGGAAGAAGGCCCAGATTGCCCATAATATACCTAACAAACTGTGCTGGACCGAGTGAGGAAAAATGGTGCTATTGGAAAAATTCTCGTGTTAAGGGAGCCATGTATTACTTAAAACCTAATCACAAGAGGAGCTGCTCGCCCCTTATAAGACCAGCTTAATATTTTCTCCACTCCCATGAACAACTGCAGTGGAAGTATCTGTCACTATGCTGCCTCGCTTTGCCTTGAAAGTGCCAAGGATACAGGACTGTTGCTCCATATTAAAGCACAGCAAGCGCTCACAGTGTGCGGACTCACAACAGCAAGTGAGTCTGTAGAATCCAAACCTGCTTATAAACCAGCCCATATTTCAGACAAGACCTACTCGCCTTATGCGCTGCTGCCCTAAAGTATTTTCTTGCCGTAACATGTAAGTATGGAATAAGTGAAAAGCCCATTTTGCTCCATTTTTGGAGTTATCTAAAAGTACCCAACTTGCTTATGCCACTGTGTCAGAGCAGGAGATAATACCAACCATCAGGATTTCTTCTTGTTGGGGCAGTCCCGGTTGCAATAAGGAATTTTGGTTTTGCCTTTGCATAGTAGGTTTAGCAAAGCTATCTACTCCGCCTCCTGCCCGAATGCGGGGAATAAGATAAGCGGCCGCCCAGCGTATGGACGTCTGCTGCCAGGCTTTCACCAGCCTCGTACCTTGTTGCAGGAGGGCTCTGCCACGTCCATTCACAGCAGGCTCCAAAAGTCCAACTGACGTTTAAGAAAACTTCATCTCTGGCTTCAAACTAGCCAAATTCCCATTCATTCCCCACAGGTTTCATCACTTTTTTTTTTTTGGACGTTAGGTTTGCTATGAACCTCTTTAACAGACGCACAGAATTTATTCTTCCTGGAGCGCTACGGCAACTCGTAAAGCCAGAGTACCTGTATTCAAGTAAATCAAGCAAACGAGCCTGCATGAGCGCTCGGAGTCGGACTGGCCTGTGTTTGCGTGGCTGTACGCCCATGTTCACGCGCTGGCTTGTGTTCTGGGGAGGACGCTAAGAATGTACTTGTGCCCCTTGCTCCCTAAAATATGGGATTGGAAGCTATGTGAGAGTCTTGCAATAAAAACGTGACAACTTTTCTAGTCCAGTGAAAATCCCCTAGGCCATTATATTGCACACTTGTGAAAAATGGAACTGATTCAATTAGTTATTCCAAAGTCCTCATCTTGCATATGATTTATATTACAGCTTAAAATGGGCCCATCCATCATGGTGAGCCTCAAATACTTTTTTCATGAGCAGTTATGTGCATGAATACCCCAAAACCCATATAATGCTCCTAATCCCCTTGGACTGACTCCGTTCAAGACTTTTTCAGGCGCAGAGTTTTCATCCAAAATAAGCACTGTCGGAAAGGAAGACTCTCTTGTTTCACTCTTGCGTTCTGGAAAAATACCTGTTCCTTGTTACCGATTCTTTGTCGCTAGAGAGCTGGGGAACGTTTTCCCCTTAATGTGTAGGGTTTCTGGCTAATTTTTGCTACTTTGAAGCTTGTGGTAAGATCTCATTTGGACAGAATTAGGTCGAGTATGTTTCAGTTGCCTGGTGTTCTTAAAATCAGCTCATCAGAGTCCTAAGTAACACATTGCCTTATTCATAAACAACCTAAGCAGATCAGGGTTTGCCATATGTGCCAGTGAAGCACAGTGCAGAGGGTGACAGTGATGTGTTACTATGAGCCGCAAGCTTATCAAAGGATTTTACTGCATGAACCAGCAACAAAAAATACACTGCAGCATTACTTGAGCCTCATTTATTCAATGAGCCTACAGTAAAAATGAAAATGCAAAACTTGTGATGGCTTAAAAGCAAACTGCAGCATGGATTTTTCAAGTCTGTGGGAATGCAAAGGTTTTTATTGTGTAGGAACAAATTTGATCGTTAGTTTACATCATTATGGTCCATGTAAATTGCAGCATCATGAAGTGCATAAAACTGCTGGGGGGACTTCTCTGGGCCACGAATGCGGTAATTTCTGATGCTTACATGAGTGGGTGCAGAATCCCTCGTATAATACTGGGGTTTTGACCCTGTGAGGGAGAACATGTAAGACTATCGGTGTTTCAAGTACTGATGATTGCGAAGAAAGACAATGAACATTATTTCAGTTGTTGGACTTGCTCTCTCCCTCCTACCCTGGCTCATAAAAAGCCAGTTTCTTTTTTCTGTGCCCTTCTTTTTTGCCTGAGGTGTGGGGTCCTGGCATATCACGCAGAGCCAGGCTCTGGACTGGGCCAGACTGTAATTTTTATTCTAGCGACAACCTGTTATTTGACCTTGGGCAATTGGCTTTCCTCATGGCTATGCAGTGCTGCTGGCCGGATTTGTCAACTCCTGGACGATAAGACATACAGACTCATTTCTTAACAAGAAGGATCTTCCATTTCAGCTGGGTTTTATAAACACTAATATCAGACAAATTTTTGAGAAGTGGTATTTTTAACCCTTCTCTGTGAAAATGTTTAGGTATATCTTGTTCCAGTCCGTGTATTGCCCTAGCTGCTGTGGTGTAACCTTAAACTTAACCTTGGATGAGTCACCTTTTATATAGCTATATATATGTGTGTATGTATATAGGTTGTTTATAGTTATAGAACCTTATAGCAATAACTCAGTACTTTTGCAACCCTCGTGTCTGTTGCAGTATGCACTTAATTTAAAAAAAAAAAAGAATACAACGTTGGTGCTGCAAATACTTATTAGACAGGGAAAATAGGCTGCCTGTCATTTGATACGGGGCACAATGAGATTTTGGTGTTTAGATTGTGGCTGAATCTTGTTGCTATCTGAAAATAATTAAAAATTAATACCATGGTGTTAATTTAGACTGCGTCACCTTGCTATTGCTGCAGTTCTCTGTCAGCATTTGACTTTACAGTAGTCACTACTGTTTTTCATGCCTTTGCTGGCCCTCTGAGCAGCGAGGCCAGGGGAGGTAATGAGAAAAAATTTCCAGCTGCACTTTTAGAAAAAATATTCCAAGGCTGGGCTGAACCGCAGTCCCGGGGCAGCACAGAGAGAAAACGATACCCGCTCTCCCTGCAGCACAGTTTCATTCCCTTTGTTGTCTCCCTTCTTTATCTCCCCAGCTGTAGAGTCGTTGCATTCCTTAAATGACCAGATCTCTCATTTTATCGTGAACAAGTCGAAAACGTTGGACGAAGACGAAGATGCTTTTTTGCCCAGCGAGAAGGAATCTCTGAAAAGTTCCATGATGCTGATGAGGCATCTCCTAATGGATGCGCAGGTATGAAATCAATAAACCCACCTCCGTTACTGAGTGCAGAACACCCCTTGCACAGATCCAGAGGCAGGACTTCACGTTCAGGGTTGGTTTTAGCCGTGAAAAACATTAGGCCCCAACACTTGTTTAAAACTGACTTTGGCTTCTGAAATTCACAGCTGTGGAAAGGACACCTGGGTTCACAGAGCTCTGATAGCCTATATGTTAGATTTAGGGTTGCAAACTGCTTTGAAGTTACAGGAGGAAAAGGAGTGATATACTAGTTGATGGGAATCTAGCATCAGTTCTAGCAAAAGACAGTCTTTTTGCCACTAAGCATCCATGCTGAATGCCAGTTTTAAGAGTGCCAGACACATAACTGAACTGTTTGGTTTAACCATGCTCCAAAATGTCAATTAAAAGTCATGAATTGGTGTGCAGATGTTTCTTTGTGCCTTTGCTGCTTTTACGTAAAATCTCTCCCTCTCTGTACAGTGTAATTACCGTGTAATTCCTTCAGACCATAAAACCCCCTTCAAAATATTCATTGTATTTATCTTTTTTTATATTGCCTTTTAGCCTTTTTTTGTAAAGCTTAGATGGAAAACAGCACCCTGCGTTGGAGGCTTGTGTGGAAAACAGCGTGGTCTCTTCCTTCTGCCTCCTGCAAAGCAGGTCTCAGACTGTCCCGAGCGCTTGTGATACTCTTCTTGCTAGCGACACAAGCTAAAGTCTCTGCATTGATATTGCTCGGGCAGTACAGGCATCCCAAGTTAGGCAGATTCTTCCATTTCCATGGACGACCCCTTGCTCTCCAGCTTGTAACGGGTGACTCTGGCTCTTTGGCACGTTGCTAACAGAAAATGGAGATGCATATTAGGTTCACGGAGCAGTTGCAAGGGGTGTCTGGAGATCATCTGCTTCAGCTTAGGTCGCGTTGCTCAGGGCTGAGTCCAGGCCAGTGTTGAAGCTCTCCAAGGGTGGAGATCCCACAGTCTCTCCGGGCCCCTTTCCCCTCCTTTGGCCGCTCTCAACAGTGAACGTTTTTTTCTGAATACCTCATTGGTATTTCCCTTATTCTTGCTTTTGCCCGTTGCCTCTCATTAAAAGCCAAATAAGAAAATAAAAGAGGAGGAGATTATTCCTGTAAGGATTAGCTGGGCTGTGCACAAAATCATCTTATCCAGGGCTGCTTCTTCATCTTTGTTCCATGCTAAGCCCATCTTGCCATTGGGAGTACAGACATGGATTGGTGCAGAGAGTCTAAAACTGCGACTACCCAGACCACCATTAACCAAACGGCACGCTCACCCCCATGCTCCCAAGCACCCAGTTTCCCCTGACTTGCTGCCAGCGTTGTACAAATACCTTCGTGGAAGATTGAAACAGAGGAAGCTACGCTTTTTCATGTTTTATTCCCACATACTCTGCTGCGGAGTCTGGTGACTCCCTGAGCAAACTTACCTCTTCCTCTTGCTTCCAAAGTCCCTTTCGTCCCAATCAGCCTGGCCATTGCAGCAGGACCCTTGTTAGGTCGAGAGTCGTGTTTTAAACCCCCCCCCCCCAAAAAAAAAAAAAAAGGCTTTGTTACCTGTTATGTTATGCCAAGCATGCTGTCCCTTACGCGGCCCTCGGTTAGTTAAGGGTTTCCTCACAGGACTCCCCACTGCTAGGCTGTGAAACAGTTGTCAGGAACAAGGCTTGTCAGCCACAGGGAACCTTCCAGAAAGGGGGCGGGCCTGAGCGCTTTTCTATGCTAAGCAGGATCCCAAACGGACCAATCGCAATGTGGGCCCGTGTTAAATTTGACCAATAGCAGCATCTTGTTGCCTGTGGGGGGAAGGGGGGTGGCAGTGTGGTTTACCTCAGAGAGGGCTGCTGTGCCCTGGCAGAGCTGGAGTGAAGAGCTGAGCTCACGAAGCCCGGGGAGGAAGAAACCCCAAGGCGGCCTTTTACCAAGGCGTGAAGACACTCGGCAGCCCCTCCGAGGGAGGACGTTCCCCGACGGAAGGTGGCTCTGCCGCAGGCTATGGCACAGCCAGCGGAGTGAACCGCCTTGGCCGAGCCGGGCCGCAGAGACTCACCGCAACTACTCCCCCAACCGGGGACACCGGGCTCTTTGGGATCCCCACCGCTACCGACCCTCAAGCAGCGATTAGTGTGTGGACACGTGAGTTTGAATCTGGAAGTGTGAAGTGGCATAATCCCCCCCGCCGGGTGTCTGGAGCTGGAAGCGGCGCTCCTCACACCGGGTGCCACCTACCCCACCCCCAGCATGACCCCGGGTGTCTCAACCCATAATGGTGGTGTCGCTTAGCAACATCTACCCCAAAGGGGAGTACGTGTGTGTTTGTTTACCATCCTCTGAGCTTGTGTACATACATGTATAAAAATATATATAACCATTTCTCTTTTATATCAGATTTATTACGAGATTGAAGCTTGGAGCATGCAATTGTAAACAAGTTAGCGCATTGCGGTTATTATATATTATTAGCAATCTGTTGTTGTTACTGTAACTAAACTTTTGTGATTTTTATCAGTCAACGTCATTGTAAACTCATGCATAAGGGATAGGGAGTCCCGAACCTTTCTAGCGTACGGGGTCCACCGGATTGCCTAACCAAGGTATAATGCCTGTCAGCTGGTTTGGTCGTTGCGCGGATGCCTCCCGGCACGTTGGCTAACAGGGGTTTTGTCACACGTAAGAAGTGAGCTGGGAGCGGCTGGTATTAACGACAGCTGTATTACAAAAACCTCCCATGTTTTTAAATGTGGAGCGAGGCAGCTGCGTTGAGTCACGTGCCAAAGTTTTAGGATGCTCAGTGCTTTAGATGCTCCAAGTGAGAGGGGTGGTGACTGAACCGAGCAGAAGTCTTCAGCCGGTTGCTGAAACTCGCCCGCAGCCTTTGAATGAGCCTTCCCGTCTTGACCCGCTGCCAGTCCTTCCCGACGTGTGGATTAGCAATAATGAGCCTGAAGCTTCACACATCTCATTTTGCACAGTCTTACGCAGTGTAGCCATTGCTGCTCATGGCAGTGTTGCAAAACTGTGAAGAATTTATCAGAGAGAGCCTTATGGATCTCTTATTTGGTGTTAGAAAAGGCAATTTTTGTTTAAACTCAGAAAATGCTTCAGCAAAGCAAAACAAAAAACAACCCAAACCACGAGGTATTGTTTCAAAAACGCCAGAGTAAAATGCAAATGACTGCTCATGAGACAAGTACGCAGCTGATTTATCTGCAGCTAGGTAGGGTGGGCTCATTCTGCTCTGCTGCCTCAAAGTTAGATTTAGCTTCATAGCAGAGACTGTCGCACGTGTGGCAGCTCCCAGTGGTCCCTCAGCACTGTGGCACGTACCAGGACCATCAGCAGGAGATGTCCTAGCAGACTCAGGGAGGGCACAGGGAACCAACCCGACAGCTCTGTGCAGGATTTTGTCTCTATTGGTGCTGTGTTCAGGCCGCTTCTGTACGTCTTCGGCCAAATCACTTGTCTCAGGTCAAAGGTTGAGGTGCAGCTATGAAGAGATGGAGAACGTGAAAGGTTAAATCATGCTTTTGGTTTTGCCCATGTAGCTTGTGCTGCTGGTGGAAATACCTCTGGGGGAGTTCAGCACGGAGGGCTGGGAATAGGCAGATGCTCCAGAGGCAGCTGCGTGTTGCAGATAAAATAAATATGGGGCAAAAAGTACCCATTGATAATCCCCTTACGCAGGAATTCTTTTTTTAGCACCTGAAAATTGCTTTACTGCTTATCAGTTGTCCCAAATACATATTAAGTGCTGCCTGTGATAGTGTGACTGATTAAGGAGATGCTAATAACAATGGGGAAATGTCAAGTGCTTCTATGTCCTCCTAATGCATCTGGAGCTCTTCCCAGGAAGCACAGGATGGCTCCTGCCTGGGTTTTTCAAGCTGGAAGGATGACAAGGTGGGAAGTGGTAGTGATGAGTAAAAGGATGGAACGGAGCAGGTGACGACGTCAAGTACAAAAAACCCAATAAAATAAATCCTCTGAGGAGTGAAAGGAACATGAGGTTGGCAGCGAGCTACCTAAACAGGAATATCGCCACTAGTGTGTGCATATAAAATATGTACTCACTGCGATTTCACAGTGCCCTATGGCTCTAATTACACAGGAGGGGAAAATATCATTAATGCAATAATTTGCTTTCCTTTCACCTGATACTATTTCTTTCCAGTGAGTGAGTGTTTTTTTTTTTTTTTAATGGGAAGATAAAGCCCTCCATGTGATTGTGCTAGAGTGATTGTGCTAGGCTCTGTACGAAGACAAACTAAAATCTTGTGTTTGACCTTTTTCCTCCCTTTCTTCTTCAGACTCTTGGCACGGGCCTGATTTTGGCTGGCAGGAGCCTGAGGAGAGACTATCCAGCCTGAATTTGTGGGTGGTAATTAGCTGGACTGCTCAGCTGCCAGAGTGGCTGATCTTTTGAATTCCTAGGGGATGGGCAGTGGGCATTTCTCACTTCCCTGATGCTGCTGTTTGCTTTTAAAGCTGGTTTAAAAACACAATCCATGGTGATGACTATCTAAAGGCTGCTGCGTTTTTGGTACGGAGAGAACTTGTACAAAGTTTGTGGCTGGGATGCCAGCAGGCTGGAGACATGGCTGAAGTAAAGGCTTGAGCTCCTCCAGTTCTAACCTTGATCTTGAGTGGCTTTTTTGACTTTACATGAATGACAAAAAACAATCAGTGATTGGAAGCCAGTGGTTCAGTGGAAGTCTTTCCAGTCTGCGCACCATTTGGAATCTCTTGATCGTGGGTCTCTTGACCCTGGTGGTCTCCATCCATTGCCCCATGGATGGAATTTCCTCATCGCAAAAATACCCTTTTGCAAGGATTGCTCGCTGACCCGCGTGCTTGCCACCAGGCTCAGCAGAGCGTTTCCGAAGGGCTTTGGTAATGAAGCCTCACCCTTCCTCCAAGTGAGGGTTGAAGCTTTGCTTTCCAATTGCTCGTTTCTCATCTTTGTTTCAGATTTGCAGCAACCTTATGACGTCAGTCAGAAAGCGTAAAGGCATTACATTCCCCTAAACAGCGCTTAACAAGTAATCATCTGCGCAGTAGGCCTGAAAGGAGAGAGCATTCCAAGAGGAAATTGAAACAGTGTTATATGAACTTAAAAGCTGCTCTTAGATAAAACCAGTGCATGAAAGCAGATCCAGAGAAAAGGTGCATTTTTGCTGTGTGACACGTTCCATCCTCCATATAGCATGAGAATGAGTAAACAGTTTGAGATCTGCTAGAGAGCCCAATGCAAGGTGCTATCACGCGGATATGGCGTTGTATGATAGATGGTCATTGTTGTCAATCATTTCTGACAGTCCTATTATGCTTGGAAGGGATGTTTGCTCTGTGCATGTTGTTTTATAATCCTCAGAGGTGGGATTTTATCGCCTAGCAGCGTTTTTTGCTCTGACGTTTCCCTAAGCAGGACTTATTACTTTTGAGTGACACGTGACTTGAATCCGTTACACCTTCAAACTTTAAATCTCCCTCCAGCTTTGCCTAAACTTTTTTTTTTTCCTTAACTTCTCTGTTTCTAATTGCTATTGTGAGAGACTTAGCTGGCATGGAACAGAAGGTACATCACATCTAAAGGCTGAGTCATGTGCATCAGATCTAATCTAGCAGTTTGCCAAAGTGGTTTGTCTAATGAATTGAAAAGGTGTATCCAGGCTCGCGGCATCGGCCTAGAAGTAGGTTAATGTTCTTTCTCATATGAAAGAACGCATGTGAAATAAAAGGCTTCTTTCCCACACACCTGACCTTAGATGCCAAGCTTTCAGGAAGTTCTGAAGCATCTAGTTACTTCCATAAAGTGTTTAATTGACTTCAAGTAGATTTAAAGTTCTTTGGGAGAAATACTGTCTCTTTATGCCGTGTCTTTCACAATGGTGTTGTGATTATCACTGGGGCCACTTTGGTGGTGGTGTAAAAGAAATGAAGAGAGCGCCAATCTTTTTGTTACAATCAAGTCCTCATGTGATGACTGTGCTTTTCAGGCACAGTCATAAAGCACAGGATACAAAAGAATAAGATTAACTTAGTAACCTTGTGGAGCACTTGGCTTAAATTTAATTGGATTTCAGTAGTTGACTATGCGTGATTTGGAGACCTTAAGGATATTGGTTTTCTGCTGAGGATTAATTTCCTTTCTAGGTAAGGA